AAAGAGTGATTGGCTGGATTAAACTAAGTCTTAGTACTCTTTAGCCGAAGTAAGGATATCGGCTAAAGAGTGGTTGGCTGGATTAAACCAACACTTGGTACTCTTTAGCCGAAGTAAGGACATCGGCTAAAGAGTGATTGGCTGGATTAAACTAAGTCTTAGTACTCTTTAGCCGAAGTAAGGATATCGGCTAAAGAGTGGTTAAATGGATAAAACCAACTCTTGGTACTCTTCAGCCGAAGTAAGGACGTCGGCTAAAGAGCAGTTGGCTGGATTAAACCAATTTTAAGTATTCTTCAGCCGGGGTAAGGATCTCGGCTAAAGAATGATTGGCAGGTGTACTTGTAAGTTGCAAATGTTTGCAAATGTTAAAAACCAATATAAAGTATCTCGGCAAGCGATTGTTATACCTCGTCCAAGACTTCAATCAGAAAGTAATACAAGTATAGAGATCAACCGAAATGAGAGTTGGAACAAAAAGAAGATTTTCATTGGCAAGTTCAAAGCGAATACAAAGGAGGGGCCCCAGCTCAATTACAATTTGTGTCCAGCAAAGAAAAAAAAATACAGAAATCAAGCAAGAAGAAGAAGAAGGCAAAGTCAGGCAAATAGATCATCAAGATCCGCATCAAGTTCAACTCGCAGCCCGGATTCAATTGGAAGCTCGGTTTCGGTCAGGAGTATGGTCTCGGTTAGAAGCACGGTTTCAGTTGGTAGTTCGACAGTCAAATCTTCCACCGTTGGCTCCGACCGAGCCGAATGACAAGCGGGATCATTGACAACCGGGGTATCGTTGGGCACGGTTTCTTCTTCATCTAAATCTTCAAGAAACTGTTGCTTAGTGGTAGCAGCATACTCCGCCAGTGAGCTCGGTATAAAGTTTTGAGGAGGATTGAAGACGTCGGTCTCAGGCCCATGATCGAGCTGCACCACAACACCCCTCCACCCGCATTTAAAAAAGAGATCCTTTGTAGCTTCACACTGCTTAATGTATAGGGCTTCACCCTCTTTAAAGCCCCGGTCCTCTGCAGCCTCCAACTTCTTCTCAAGCTCCGTTATTTTGGCCTTCTTTTTTCCTTCGAGCTTGGCCAGCTCACAAAGGTATTTGTCTTTCATCAGTGTCAGGGACCTTTGTTTATCAGCATTAGCCGAGGTAACTAGTTCGGTCAGACGGGTGACCTCGGCCTCTAGCTCGGCAGTCTTCTGTTGAGATGCTTCTAGCTCGGCCATTTTGGCTTCAGCTTCTTCCATGGCTTGCCTTGTTGTTTTCCTAAGTTCTAACACTCGCTTGTGAGCGATATGGTTTTTCTGTATGGCCTGCAAAAGGATGGTACGACACTTTTTCAGTATAACCGAGCTGTTAGATTAGACAAATTTCTTTAGAAAAAATAAAGGGGTAACTCACCAGCACTATGGATTTTGTGGACGAGCGAAAGGCCTTCAGCTTGGTCAGGTAGTTGTGGTGCCTCATGTCGGCTGGAAGACAAACACCTTTAGCCAAGTTGAAAGCCATCAGGTGGTCTTTTTCTGCGACCACTGAGTCCGAATCCGTGATAGCACGGTTCTGAAAGGTGATTTTTGGAGCCCACTTGGAGGACGTAGCTCGGTCAGAGCGCTCCGGTTGTGGGCTCAGTGGAGGGCTTGGCAGAGTGGTTTAAGGAACCACGGTTTCATCTTCATCAACAGACATTGCTCGGTTTGGGTAGCCCGGGCACGCTTCTTTGGGCGAGATGATGAAGGTTGTTGAGAAGGCAGAGCTACTACGGTTTCTTGAGTTTGACCGGCTGGCGGTACCTCGGTCGGATTTGTTTTAGTCAGAAGGGCTCGCACGGCTCTCTTCTTGGCCATCTCTTGCTCAGCAGTTAAAGGGATTAATCTGATTTGGGGCAAGGTTGGGTCCGGTTCAGGCAAAGCCTCCAACAAGAAATCAGTTACCTTGGTTTTTCGCTTGCCACTGTATCGATAGGTCGGCTGGAAATTCAATAGCTCGGTCCAACTTCGGTTTGGATATCGAAGCGCGGCACGAAGTGTAGCTAGGTTGGGGTAGCTGTACTGTGACTTGAGGAAGTTCGAGTTTGCATAAAAAGAAGACAACTGTTAGTCCGGTTCAAATATTGAAATCCGAAGTAAAGAAAGGCGTACAATGGAGCCGAGATAAACCTACCGACTACCTCCTTGTTCCAGTTTATTCTGTCACCAGGGATCTGGGCTTGTTGGTCCTCAAAATTCCCAGATACCCAGAAGAAATCGTCGTTGTTCACATCTTTGTCCGGAGTATCTTTTATTATCTTTTTACGCCGGCGTCTTATTTTTAAATAATAGACCCGTCCATTTTCAGCGGATCCTATAGAATATTGGTGGAAGAGTTCTGCTAGCCCGAGGTTAAGACCAGCTCGGTCGTTTAGCGCGGCAATGCCATTTATTATACGGTAGGAATTAGTGGAAAGTTGGGTAGGGCAGAGTTTGGTTTGCCTAAGGAATTCACAGAGGAGGGGCTGTACAGGGAAACGTAGACCGCACTCTACGATTGAAATAACATTAAAAGGGACAAAGCCTTGCTTTCCCCAAGGGATGGTGTCTAGCTCGGCCAGTGAAAGGTGGACATCATCTGGGATTTGGTAGTCCTTGCGAAATTCAGCCATTGCGCCAGGAGAGTCAACTAAAAACCTATACTTTCCCATTTATGGTTTGTTATGAATAAATTATATGTGGGTGTTAGCTCGGTGAAAAAATGATTTTGAGTAGCTCGGTTGAGCGCTTAAGGGAATGCCTGGGCAACCTAAGTCTGCAAGGTAAAAAACAAGGGTGTTACCCACAGATCGTGGGACCGTGCTAAGAAGAAATAACGGCAAGATAAATGAAGTCCTCGCTCGGCTATGCGGAATGCTTCGTGTCTTAGCTCGGTTTGAGCAAGGGGTCTGTTAGCTCGGTTTTAGCAAGGGATTTGTTAGCCTGGTTGAGCATCTAGGGGAAACATACTTAGTTCGGTCTGAACTAAGAAGGCTGGTTTAGCCCCAAGTTGTAGCTCGGTCGCGGTTGAGACTAACAGATGCACTATTACGCAGACTTAGTGCGGATTGCTAACTCGGTTGAGTTAAAACAAAAGGTGGTTTGACTTGTTAAAACTAATAGTATAACGTGAAGTGTTAGTTCGGTTGAATGGTCTGGCTAGAATGACATCAACTACAAACGACTTTTTAGTTCGGTTATACTATGATTTTGGATCAAAATCGGTGTTTTTCAGTTTATTCGTAAAAAGCCAGAGGTTCTATTACACGAAAGAAAGGTATGTGTTATGAAAAAACACACAAAATACATGTATTGTAAAAGCAAATGCAAAAACAACAAAAATAAGGCAGATTTGAGTAAACTTACCAGGTTAAGAGGAAGAAATCAGAGATGGAAGCAACGACAATGAAGAACACGAACACAGCAAGTTCAGGGTTGAAGAAGTTCAGGAACGAAAGAGAGAGATGAGGAAATGAATAGTGTGGTGAGTGATTCAAAAAAACAAAGAGTTTTGTTTTGATGGAAGGACCAGAGGCGGGAACTGTTCAAAATTCACGGAGTACGAAGACAGCGTGACAGCTGCATTGGGCCAATCAGAGGGGGCCACGTGTCATAGGAATGAGAAGCGATTCAGTTGCTGTGATTGAAGAGACGTTTTGACCGGACAGGTACAACCCAGTGTGAATTTAGCTCGGCTGAAAAGGCTAAAATGGTTTTTAGCCCGGCTAGAAAGGCTAAAAGGGTTTTTTACCCGGCTGGAAAGGCTAAATGGTTTTAGTTCAGTTGGAATTCTGAAATTTTTTAGCTCGGCTGGTAACAGGTAATCCCTATCATGCTATGCAGATGGAATTAAGGGGCAATTGAGAGGATAATTTATACTTATAAATTGGGCCGAGCTGGGTAATGGGCCGTTATGGGCCACATTGCGAAGGGCTGAGTAAAAAGGCCATGAAGTTACTCCGGCCCAAGAGAGGTATAAAGTTACTCTGATCCGCAGGAGGTGTAAAGTTCCTCCAGTCCGCGAGAGACCTGAAGTTACTCCGGTCCCAAAGAGCTTATGGTAAGTTTGGTCGTCACTCATAAAGTTATCCTGGTTTGAACCGGAGTATTGGTTATTCCGGTCTAGACATACCGTGGTTAGCATTAAAAAGAGCCAAGGTAAGAGCAGTGAATGGAAGAGTCGAGCTAATTTTATCTCGGTCTAGTCTGCGGCTTAGCATAGCCATGCTTACCTCGGTCATGTTGAAGTCTGACCATGGTAGAACCATGTCACTTGGTTTATGCAGTGGGGAGTGTTGAAGGATAGGCATTATCTTTCAGGAGTATGAATCCTAGGAGGACTCTACATGGAGGAGTGAAAGTCCTACTAGGATTGTGTCACGCGGAACCTATAAAAGCTTACAACATCACCCATGGAGAGGTAACACACAACTTTGATATACAGAACTTTTTGTCTTTGTCTATTTTGCTGACTTAGGCATCGGAGATGTATCCGGCACACACCCGCCGGCTAGCTCACGTTTGTATTTTCAGGGAGTAAAGCGACGACGTTTTGAGGAGCGCAGACTTGAACAACAGGATTTTACGAGAAGGTTTATTTCTTTCCCGTACAAATATTTAAATTGATAAAATTAAAAATTAAGAATTTATTTTGTTATAATAATCAAACCCGGTTTTTTTCTTTTTCAATTAAATAAAGGGACGATCTCAAAAAACAAAAGGTATAAACTTAAAATAATTGCAAAGAGGTGGAAGTACAAAACTTAATTGCACAATCTAATGCATAAATTGTTTGTACTTTCATGACATTGCAATTATTTTGTGTTAATACCATATTTTTGCAATTCTCCCATAAATAAATAATAAGATGTAATTTAAAGATTAAAAAAAAAAAGATGAAATTAACTTGTGTCTAGGGACTCAGAAAACCAAATCCGGAAAATACCCAAAATGCTGAATTTATGGTGTACAATAAAAGTTTTATGTGTGAGACCCTATCATTGATGATGAATCTAGACCTTTGATCTTAAATTCTGTTAGCTTCGGATTCTTTGTGCCTGCATTCATAGAACTGCCCTTTTCAGTTCTGTACCAAACAACCCCGTAATCATTATCAACCACCGATGGCTGTCTACCACGCCACACCACACCAGTCATATTGATCCACAGTTGACTTTGTAATTTCCAATATTTGTGAGAAATCAATTGCGAAGATATTGATGAGAGAGAAACCATGGGAGCTGATGTGCCGATTTCAATTTTATTAGAGAAATTAAACAAGTTGAAAGAGGTTGTCCAGGAAAGATTTATCTATCCAAGACTGAGAAATCATGTACATGATGCCATCAACGAACTACAACGCATTCGGAAGGAACTTGAAGAAGCAGGGGATACCAGTACCCTTCTTCGCTCTGTTTACTCTTCAGATGATACCAGTACCCTTCTTCGCTCTGTTTACTCTGCTGAATTGTTGATCGAAACTTTCCTCCTCAACACACCAATTCATTGCCGACGGGATGATCTCAAAAATCTTACCCAAAACCCGCCATTAATGGCATTTCTTCCAATTCCACCATGGACCCAATTACGGTTCAGCTCCAAATTGAAAAATTTCGTGAAGAGCTTAAAAGCTGTACATAGTGAATCGCGGCCTCGCAGAGACCATTCGGCAATCAATCACAAAACACATGAATTTGAAGATGATGATGATGATGAACTTGTTGGATTTGGAGATGTGGCAGAGAAGAATCTGGTAGATCGACTGATCAACGACGACGAGAAAAGCCTCCGCGTGATTTCTCTGGTCAGCGAAAAGGCTGTGGGCAAGACAGCTCTGGCAAGGAAGGTTTATAACAGACTCGACGTTCGGCAGTCTTTCGAGTGCCGTGTTTGGCTCCATGTTCCAAAAAATATTAAATGCAAGGATCTGTTGATTGTCTTACTCAAACAGATTCCGATGGGGGTGTTGAAGGGGGTAGAATTCATGAGCGAGGGCGAGCTGTCTGCTCTGCTTTTCCAGACTTTAATGGAGCTCAGGTTTCTAATAGTCTTGGATGATGTCTCCTCGTTTGATGTCTGGCTCATGTTAGCATGTCCCTTTGCAGACGCCGCCAATGGTAGCAGAATCATCCTCACTACTCGCGACTCTAAGATAGCCTCGGATGTTGATCCGTGGAGTCGCCCACCGCTGGAACTCAAGGCCTTCACTGATGAGCTGAGTTGGGAATTGTTCTCGAACAAGTTTCGTGTAGGCAGACATGACACAGATACACACCACCAGTTAAACAGTAACAAGGTAAAAATTCTGAAAATATGCAGCGGTTTGCCTCCAGCAATTGTCCTGCTTGGACGATTGTTGTCAACTATACAATCTAATGAGTTGGTCTGTGTAATTGATAGTCTTTTAATCGACTTGGACAAACTTGATCAATCACCTCTCTCAAATATTATAGCTTTATGTTTTCGTGAGCTACGGTCTGAGTTGAAGCTATGTTTTCTTTACTTGGCTCTCTTTCCTAAAGAGTATGAGATCTCCGTGCGGAGGCTGTTGCAGTTGTGGATTGCAGAGGGTTTTGTGAAAATGTCAAGTACCCAACAACCTGAAGATATAGCCGGTAAATATTTGAAAGAACTCGTGCACAGAAACATGATTGAAATAGCAACAAGGAAGGAAGACGGAAGGCATAAAACATGCCGAATGCCAAGCTTTCTTCATGATTTCTTCTTTCAAAAATCTGAGGTTATAGGATTTATTCACGCCCACCATTGCAGAGCGAATTGTACGCCGATAGATTCACCTGCTCAGCTTAGAACAGATTCACTGGCTGATCAGCCTAATACAGATTCATCTGCTCAGAATAATATAGATTTACCTGCTCAGCCTAATAATGTTTGTTTATCAGATGTTTGTTTTAAAGCCCAAACGAGAGGTACATCCAACGAAAAAATCAATGAGTTGCTTAAAACAATTATCGATAGGAGGAGATCTAGAGGTTTTGTGTTGACGAAGGTGCTTGATCTAGAAGGTGCCCACAAACCTTTGCTACACGCGAAACTTGGCAAGTTTTTGAGCAACTTAAGGTACATAAGCTTGCGATGGACGGGTATAGACTCATGTCCGAAGTCTATTGGCGATCTACCGTGCCTGGAGACTTTAGATTTGAAGTATACTAACATAACCAATCTGTCGAGTTCCATTTGGAAGGCGAAGAACCTTCGACATCTGCTTATGAACGAGGTGTCCATTCTGAAGCCATCATCGTCAAAACAGTCTTCAACTTCAATGTCCAACATTCAGACCTTAACAGGCCTTCGTATCGGTTTTGAGGACCCCAAAGAATACGGCTTGAACAGGTTCACCAGCCTTCGGAAATTGGGACTGACTTGCCATTCAAGATCATCCGTGGAGAAAACATGGGATTGCATCTCACAACTTAACAAACTTCAAACTTTCAAGCTCAGATCAAGGGATCATCAATTCGGTCAGCCTTCAGAGCTCGTGATTCCTGACAATCTGACAACCCATCCGTCTCTCTCAAACTTATATTTGTTCGGAGTGTTCAACTTCAAAGTTGGAAACCTTCCCAAAAACCTCAAAACCCTGACACTGTCAATGTCGAAAATCAAAGATCCAATGCCGGAGCTAGGGGAGTGTCTGCCTCAGCTGAACATACTCAGGCTTTTTGCTGAATCTTGTGTAGGGGAGAAAATGAATTGTCTTGCTGGGGGATTTCCCAAACTTCGTGTGTTGAAATTGTGGATGTTAGAAACCCTCAAGGAGTGGATCGTTGAGGAAGGTGCTATGCCCGAACTTGAAGAATTAGAAATTAGAGGTTGTCAAAAACTGGAAAAGTCACAAGGACTGGAGCGGCTGAGTCACCTCAAGGAATTGACGTTAACAAACATGAAGTGGGAATTTGTAGAAGATGTTAAACGAAATCTGGCGTCCGTGGGCAGATCGCGCATACTACTCACCAACAAGTTCAAGTCTTCAACCACTCTTGCATGTAAGTCTTCTCATCATCTTCATCTTCTTTTTCTTTTTCTTTTTCTTTTTCTTTCTCTTTTTTTAATGGAAAATTTCTATCTATAATTATATTTCTTATCTTAGTTTCTCATTGTTAGACAAAACACAAATGAGTGAATTTCACATACATTTACTAATGAGAGCCTCTTTGTTTTTTGTCTTAGGATGAGAAAATGGAATAATGAGTAATGTTACATTTATCATATTTTCATACCACATTCAGTATATATATCATCTCAAGTTCAACACATCATTAGTGTAATAGGACCTTTCACTCATGTCTATTTCCAATGCAATGCACACACATGAGATAGTACACTAACGCTGTATTTGATTAGAGGAGTTGGAAAGGGATTTGAAAAGGAAAAAGAAAAGGTAGGTGAAATGTAAATAAAATATACATGCATTTCACTTATTTACATTTCACCTAGTTTCACACACATTTTTTCTTTCATTTTCCAAATTTTCCAACCAAATACAGCGTAAATGTCACATAAAAAAATGGTAAGTGTTGTCATTACTCAATGAGATTATATATAACATTACTCCTATTTAATTTCTTCAGCACTTATATATATATATATATATATATATGAATTTTATTAACAAGTACCCTAAAGATGCATTAAATACGGTTAGCCACATCTACTATCATAGAAAAGAGAAAAGACTATAAATCTATTTTATTAGAGACTAAACTATTTTTTTCTCCAATTCCTTCTATTTTAACATTATATACTTTTCATAGAGTTTTTGTTTTAACATTTTTTTTTATCATACCTTTATTTTTAAATAACATTTCGTGGATTTTATTTTATTTTTTTAATTTTGAATGTCCTCTATTTTCAATCATAATTAAATTATATGGTATAAGGAAAATGAATATAAAAATTAAAAAAAAATTAAAGTGCATATAATTTTTTATATTTGTTATAAAAATAAAGGACTTATAAAAATAACAAAAAATATAAAGGGCATATACTTTTTATAATTTTTTATATTTGTTATAAAAATAAACAGACATATAAATTTTTTAAAAAAAAAGTCACGAAAAATATATGTTCTTTATTTTCCTTACACCATATAATTTAATTATGATTGAAAATCAAGGGCATTTAAATTTTTTTTTTAAAATCTACAAAATATTATTTAAAAATAAAGGCATTTAAAAATTATTTTAAAAAATTCTATTACAAAAGTGTATGGTGTTAAAATAGAAGGAATTGGAGAAAATGGTTGTTTAGTCTCTAGTAAAATATATTTATGGTATTTTCTCTTTTATATGATATGGAGATGATTATGAGTATTTAATGCATCCTTAAATGATGGTATTGAGATATGTATGGGATTGGCAATATAGTGTCCATATCAATAGTAAATAATAGATATAATGGTGAAATGAACAATCTCACTTTGTGGTGTAGACCACAAACTAGTTAAGTTAGTGAGAGATAAGATTTGTCTACCTAAGTTCATTTACAATTGTTTATTTTTTTATTGCCCGATGACCCCATGAAAGATGGTGTTAATATTGCACTCGATATTTATTCTAATATTAAACCGAACAACATTAACTAATGATATCGGTATTGAAAGTTCAAAATCCCAATATCAGTTGATATTTAAAACCTATACATATATACCCAGGTGTTATGTATCTAGAAAAAAATTTAAAAAAAAAATGTCAAAAATTTGAATATATGGTATAAATTTAAATTAATATCTCTACTAAAAATGATTAAGTATTCTTGATATATTATGTAACATTGTTTACACGGTGCTCCTCACAAATGAGAAACAACAAAACACACTAGGTGAATCATTTTGTAACAACTTCGACTTGTGATTAGCCTATAATACATTATTAAGATTGTCTAATAAGTAGTTAAGATAGAATTCTGAGTTAGATGCATGTGTTATGTGTAATTGTGTTTATATCTGTCCATGGTAGGAATATCTGTTTATGTTTCCATTTTGGTATACGAATTGAAGATCTTATCGGCGTCCGAACACGAAACTGATTAGGTTAACATGTAATTTGGACTTTTTAAAAATTTATGATAGGTTTAATTGAAACCTAATTCGGAATTAAATAATTATAATAAAATAATTAGCACTAACTACAATTAATTAGCCTAAGTAAACCAAACCTATATAAGGCCACTTCTAATTCATTCTAAACACTATTCCCTATTTTGAGCCCAACAAAAACATATAGAGAGGGAGAGAAGAGAGAACATGGTATCAAAGCTTGAGGAGGAATAATTACTTAGAAAATTGAAAGAATTGGAAGCATAGTTGGAGAATTGGCTTGCTGACTTAAAGGCATAGTAATCTAGAGCCGAATTGAAGAGTTTAGGTAAGGATTCAAGCTTTTAGTTCAATCATTGAGACACTTAACATATGAATTCAAGAGAATTAAGTTAATCAACGCAAGAATTGAGTTAATGAAGTAGGAAAGAGGACCATATCATGTATGCATGCATTTTCATCCCATTTTGAGTTTGAATTTCAAAAAATTCTCACATGCATGTAATAATTCTAGCTTGGTTTTGAGAGTTCATCACATTTCATGACATTTTATCTTAATTGATCATGTTTTGGAAGGAAAGAAATCATGTTAATTCATGCATGTTGAATTCATGTGAGTTTCAAGTTTGGTTCTAAAAGAATTGGCATGCTTTTGGACTTGATTTTGCGAAATGGCTTTCAAGTCTTGATGTTATACAAGTTTAGACATGATTTTTCATGTTTTCGCCCAAAAGAAGATGATTTTGTACATTGGGAATGGATTTTGAACTTGGAACAGCAATATGGAAATTCCAGATTCTGTATCTTTGCTCAAGCGACCAAAGTAGTACTCAAGCAACTACCCTTTGTTTTGGACCTCAGTTTGAGCGAACAAAAGTTGGCTCGAGCGTAAAATTCAAGCTCCTAGTACTTTTGTAGACATGAGTCTTCGCTTGAGCAACAGAACATGCGCTCGAGCTACCGCTCTTATCTTTAGACCTTGGCTCGAGCGACCAGAAGTTGCGCTCAAGCATAAAATGAGAGCTCTCAGAAGTTTTGCAGACCAAGGGATCCGCTCGAGCAACAAAAGTTGCGCTCAAGTGAACTACTTTGTTTTCAAAATTTTGGCTAAGTGTTTCAAAGTATATTTTGACATTCGCATTGCATCTTAAGCATTCCTAAGCCTTAATTGAGATATAATAATGAGGGTAAGGGTTAGAAACACACCGAGATAGAAAAGAAATGAGTTAAGTATTTTCCAAGTGTGTGTTTCAATGTGTATCCACTATGTGTTGGTGTAGGTCACGCACCATAGATTGTCAAGTCCGTCCGTTTTGACGGTTCTGCTATTGAAGCTATATCTATGAGCAATAACTCTGTAAAGCTATGTTTGACTTTAATTATTCTCTAATGATACGAAATGATCTATTTTCTGAAATGCTATTTTCTATATAGGTGAATAATTGTCCAGATTTCTGAAATGTATTCGTGGCATTTTTAGCATCATGTGATATATATTATTTGCTTTGTAAACGTATCATGTAATCATGAGTCAACTGAACATCTCATGTAATCATGTGATATCTATTATTTTTAGCATCATGGATCTTTATGAACGTCTCTATGCACATAAGTCAGCTATTTACGTCCCATATAAATGGGTCAACTATTCTTTTAACGGTAATGGATGTACCATGTATGATTATTTGTGAACACTAAATATAAATATGAATATGAATATGAATATGAATATGAATCTGTTTCTGTTTTGAATTCTGATTTTTGAATCTGTTACAGAGATCATTCATTAAAACCTTTACTCTGTTATTATTCACTGGGTTCTAGCTCACTGTATTATTAATGTCTGTAGATGATCAAGCGCGTGACCAGGCTCAGTGATAATTGCTTGGAGATCAGTTTTGTCAGCCAACCGCCACGCCTCCCGATAAGGTTCTCAAGTTAAAGTGTGGTCGTGATTCTACAAACAAGTTTTAAGTTTTTGTTTTCTTCTATTTGTCTGAACAGTTTTGTATACTCTATATTTAGGGCTAAGTCCCTTTGACTGTATCTGTGTTGGTGACGTAAAACTAACTTAACTATGACGTCACATATGTGTATTATGCTTTAAATTTTATGTCCCATGTATGTCTGCACTATGGACATTGCATTTGATATTTGCTTCCGCCAGACCCTCTAATTTTGTTTAATCTGTTCAGAGGCCTTCGGTAATTCTAAAATTACTGTCTAGTTACGATACTAAACTTATAGGGGCGGATTTGGGTCGTGACACATTCCCTATTTTTCAACTACATGAGACATGTGAGATAGTATTGTCCCATCTATTAAGTTTTTCTTACATCATTGATTGAGAGTACTATATAAACAATGCTACATTAATACTCTTCGATTATTGAATAGTTATCTTTGATATGCATATTTTAAGTTTTGGATATGCTTATATATGTACTAGCGTTATAATTGTGCTATACACAGCTTAAAACATATGTTTATTAAAATAAAAAAATAAAAAAATAAAAAAATAATTCTTTTTTCTTTTTTCATTTTTTTTTAGGATTTTCTTTGGAATCCAAAATGTAGTTTTAAATTAAAAAAATGCTAAAAATTCTAAATGAATTATCAAGTATTCTACATAATACTCACATGGATCACATCTGCATGAGTATTATATAGAATATTTGGTATTTTTTATTTTATTATTTTTTTAATTTTAATTTTATTTTTATTTTTTTGAGATCCCTAGTACTGTTCATTTAGATTTTTCATTTAAAAATGATTACACTAAGTCATAATAAATCTATTAAAAAACTTAGAGGGAAATAAATTTATAGTTATTGTTCAAAATGGTTAATTATTATACATATGTTTAAATTGTATATAATAATAAAGAACTATCATGAAATGAAATTTTATTATAAATTTTTCATACCTAACATTAATCTATTTTTTATCTTATTCTATGCAAATATTCATCACAAAAATGACTAAGCTATGGAGAAAATGTTAAGCTATGCAGTCAAAGTTTGACTGATTAACACCAAATTTTTATAATTCTAGCATAGCTCAGCCCGACTTGCTTTGAAATTAACAACTTAATACAATATTTTGTCATGTACTATACGGTAGAATTAAGGTTATTAACATATTGAGGCCCCATTTGGGATAAAGGTTGGGGTTAAAATAATCATATAGGACAAAATATGCTATTTTAGTTAAATAGAACAAAATATCACATCCAACTCATAATCATTTCCTTTTTTCTCTTACAAAAGTCAAAAAAATCAAAAAACCTATCTCAAACAAGACTTTTTAGCCCCAGTCTAAAACAGTTAAAAAGCCAAAAAGGTAACCCACATCCCAAACGAATCCTAAGGCTAAATATGTAATTTTAATAAGCTTCATTTTGCAAAAGGTGACTTCAAATTAAAAGATTATACTAACTACAACATAAATATCAAATACAATGTTCATAACTTTTGATAATTTTATCAAGGATGATTAGAAATGCAATTAGCCCTCTAAAATTCTTATACATTGTTATTATAATTTTTCTTAAATAATGTAAATGTGTAAAAATTTTAAAAAATTAGTTTGAAATAATTTTTTATAAAAATAATTTTAATTGATCAATGGACAAATTTTAAAACATTTGAATGAATAAATGTGAGTTGTAAAGAATAATTCGATTTTTTAACCATATAATGCATCTTGTATGAATCATCAATAATTTATATATATATATATATATATTATCTTATGGTAAAGATTTAATTAAAAGTTATACTTTGAAAATTCTTATGGTGTAGATTTAATTAAAAGTTATACTTTGAAAATACAAATTAAATGTCAAGGTTATCCCAACATATAGAGATATTGATACGTATTCTATTAATATTGTTTTGATTTTTAGCTTATAAATTTAAGAAAAATTGTAGATTAGTAGTTTTATGGGAAAAAAAGTTTTTACAAATATTTTTTAAATTTGTGAAAAAATTTATAATTTTAATTATTAAAATTGATAAAATATACCACTAATTTGCAATTTTTTCTAAAAAAAAACTTACACTGAAGTGCAATTTCTTCTAAAATTTAAATATCTACTTGTTTCCATTGTCAAAAGTGCTGCAATTTAATCAAATTTGAAAAATGTTTTTATATTGATAAAAGGAGCATAATTATTGAATTTGAAAGGTAGTAATTAAGAAATTTGAAATATATTACTATAATAATCAAGCATCCAATAATTATAATTAAAATGAAAGAGCCAATAATTTTATGACGTGTAATTTTACATTTTGTTAATTCAAAATTTTAAAATAATTAGGGTAGGAGTTTTGACTTCATAGACCTATTAATGTTTTTGTTTTTATTATATAATAACAATAATAATAATAATAATATATCTTTTTGAGTCTCTCCTTGTACACTACATAAATCTCTTTTCCATTAAATCTTAAAGTTATCACAGTTATCAAAATTTCTGCCATCACTAAAAAAATGAAAATAATAAATAAATCAAATCTTAAAAATATTGCAGATGATCAATAAGAGACTTCTAAGTATACTAACGTTTTTAATGTAGGATTGGCGCTCATGGAAGCTGGAGTTGGGACAAAATGGAGTCTTAAATATGGTGTGCTTCTCTTTCTTCTTTTTAAATTTTTTTGAGGCAGTTTGCTATATCACTACTGTTCATGGCACCGTGCTTTTTATGTAAATTAAGTTGTAACTTTGTTTTTAACATATGTTTGCCTAAATAAATTGAAAAAAATAAGATTAAATACACTAAGTTTTGCCGCATTTTTTGATGTCCAGTCACAATGGAAGTTAGGCTCCATTGTGAGCATGCAATAAAAAAATATGATAGAGATTGGTGTGTCTCTAAGAAGAATGTTAAATGAATTTGTGACAAAATTCATTTTACCCTTGAAAAAATCTAGAAATTCGTTAGATATTGATTTGTGATTATGTATTAATGTTAGGCAGTAAATAACAATTCCAATCAAACAATCAAGACAAATCGATACAATGATTTTACGTGAAAAAATCACAATTAGAGCACTTCCAATTGTGATAAAAAAAACCACGGGCAAAAGCCACAAAACAATCCACTAAGAAGACATAAGCCCTGTTTGGTAGAGCTGTGGGAAAGTGCTTATAGCTTATGCCTAAACAGCTTATAGCTTATAACTATGAACATAAACTGATTTCTAACTTATTCTTAAAGCATCTCCTGCCCCATTCAAAGAATAAGCTGATTTCTGACTTCCAAAAAGCTATAAGCTATAAGCTAAACCACACACATCAAAATAGCTTAAATTAAGCTGAAAGCTGAAATAAGCTGATTATAATTTCTGCCAAACAGGCACATAAAGGAATTACACAAGTGTACTCTCAATTACTTAGCGAATCCAAGCTCGAATCGAACCGACCCCAATGTGTCTCTTAGTGAAGTGGAAAACATGAAAGAATAAACTTCTGAAACTTCTCTGCAATGCATAATTCGGGTTGGATTCGCAACTAAAAACCCATAACCTCACTGAAATAAAAGAACGAATAAAATTACAACTGAAAAGAGTTTTGGCAAACGGGATTGCCAAGAACAAAAACCTAACAATCTCCCCCTTTTGGCAATGTCGTGACAAAACACACCTAACAAATAAAATCCTAATCACCCCAACCTGTTACAACCAACAAAAGCAAACTTCTTTCTTAAAGTCATGATCTGCAAAACAGCTATCAGTGCCACAATCTCCAAAACAACTATTAGTGCCACAAGAGTATATGAAAAAGCAATAGACATATTATCAGTGCCACAATCTCCAAAACAACTATTAGTGCCACAAGAGTATATGAAAAAGTAATAGACATATGACAAGATTATCTTGAAGCATGAGATGAAAATATGAAAAGAAGTAAATTAGAGATTTTAAGAACATGTAGCATAAGTACATGAAATCCTAAGACACATGCACCCGCCAACATTACTCCACATTTTTGTCACGAATTGTCAAAGGAAGCTCAATCAATGAAAGTAAGAGCATAAACCACACAAGCAGGGACAAAAAGGATGTAAAAAATTAATAACCTGCGAGACGTAAGCATTAAATAAGTAGTGGATATCAACATACAAACCAACTAATGCCAATCTCCTTTACCGAACCAATCAATGTAAGTTCATGCTAAAAACACACCTAGCACTTAATAACCCTACTCACCCTCACTAAAAGTAACCACAAACACTGAAAAACATTGAACAACAAGAAAAAAAAATAATATGATAGAGCAAGCAAGGAATTTCATATTTGTACCTTAAAACACACAAGATTATCCAAGAAACACAATTTCTTGAAAACACAATGTGCACAGTCTCTAGAAAATTCCTCATAAAAGAAAGTGATGCATTATGTGAAAAGCATAGATCCCATGATAAAAGTGTGTGTGTAACTCTTGAAGTTCGACAAACACTAGATTCAAAACCTAGTAGTGATCAGATAACTGGACCTCAGGCAAGAGAATCTAAGCACAACTAAGGAAAGTCAAACCACTAGGAATCAAGGGGTGTTTGTTGAGTAAAAGTGGAGGCTCCCCCTTAATCAATGAATCCTTTTTTTCTTTCTTTTGCACATTTCTTTCTTTTCTTTCTTTTGCACATTCTTTTTTTCTCTTTTGCACTTACTGGCAGCTTTCACACTCAAGAGTTTGGAAACCGAACTAAAGAGGCATGGATACAATAAGGATAACCTGGTTGGTGACTCTGAGGTAGCCTTTGCCTCATGCATTGACTACAAAGAATTGAGGAGAAAGCCAGGGAGATGCAAAAAGATGGAAGGTGGTTAAGAAACTTAACATCACCCATGATGTGCTAGTATAGGTCAATTCCTCTAGAAAAGCAAATGACACAATGCTAGAAGTCTATAGAGAAAATTGATCACTGAGGTGGAAGACTCCGATATTTGCTAATCCAAGAGTGTGTACAGAATGAGACATACTAATCAAAGAACACACACTCCAAAATAAGTAATCACCACATAAAGCACACACATACTAACATGTAATGGATATTCTCATCAATTCCAATATGCAATAAGAACTTCGCAAAAATTTCAAGCTCGCAAAATAATACTAAGAAAATCTTTTTCGTTTTTTTTTAAAAAAAATAAATAAATAAATAAAGCAAGACATAAAA